TGAAAGTTTGTGGTGTGTAATGTTTTTAAATGATTTTTATCTCACTAACCGTAATAATGAAGAGGATTTATCAAATGCGAAAATTTTTCCTATAAGACCTATAAGACTATAAGATCATTATAGTTTACGTTATCGAAGATAGAAAAGTATATTCGATGAAAATAAAGTGAAAAAACCTAAAATTGTTGAATATAGGATCAACTCCAACGGCATGAAACTAAACAAAAAATGTTTGAAAGTAATTCTAGAAATGTTTCAACCTAGGGATAGGCACTTTAACTTAACCAACACAAACATGTGCGTATAGTGGTGTGGAAAAAGTGATGTGTGTAGCATAAAAATGCTACATTATGATACTTCTCAAATGTAAGTACACACTTTTGTATACATACACCATCGAAGAGAATAAATGGTTGATTGACTCATAGTGACAATTAGCCTATATTTTAATACGATATTATTTGAGTTTTCAGAAACCATCAATCAATACTGTTATTATCATAACGAATCAAGTTTTATATTCATATTTTTATATACATCGAAAGATAACTATGAAATAGAAAACTGATAAAAATTATTCCAGTCAGCATTTAAATATGTTCTTCAAGTAAATAAGGTATTAAAACGCATGTGTCTGTGGTCTATATAAGTTTTGGTACATATGAGGTTTTTCTTGGGAATTACTTTTGATAAATAAACATTATCTTAGTGAATTTTAAATACAAGACATTCCACAAAAGTGTTTATTCTTGATATATTAGATTTTATACTCATAAAAGTATCTCAAAAATCGTGAATATGATATTTCTTATTTGAGCGCATGTTATAGACTACAATGAGTCTTCTTTTGACGGGTGGGTTGTATTATTGCACTGATAACATCACATATATTTAAAAATATTCGCAAAATTATCACGTACTAGTTTTTAATTAATTGTCATTAAATATAAATCTACTGGAGTGTGTTCACCTCTCAAGACCTTTAAGCCGCCATGGGGTTAAGAAGTTCACTATTGTCATCGTGGTTTTGTTAATAAAATTCTATATTATGCTATATCTTACTTATAGAATACAAAAAATCAATGACGATCCATCAGCTGTCAAAGTATCACGAGAAATATACTGTTTAGGGACTGGTACCCGGCTAAGATAATACTTGTTAAAAAATTTAAATAATCAGAATTCAATTATTAATAATTATTGGAACAAAAGACCGATTTATTTCTCAAAGTCTGGCTGAAAACGTTTTGTTCAAATCCTACGGTTAATTGAGCTCAAATAATGGCCTCTTGTGGTACCACAGGAATAACGTTGGTTCGTACATAGACGAAAGGTCAGTATAAAACTTAGGTTAGGTAAGGTTGCAGTAGCGTCATTGTATTTAAGAAACCCTACTTGAGCTCAAATAATAGCTTATTGTGGTACCACGGGAATTACTTTGGCTTGTAGATATAAAAAAATGTCAGTACAAAAGTAAAGTTAAAGAAAAGTTATTTAAAGTTATTTATTGCTAATGCAATTGATTTAAAAATAAATAATAAATAATACGTTTTAAAGAAAATTCTGAACTATTTAATAAAAAGAATAGCATAAATCAATTACATATCATTTATGTATAATTTACTTACTGATGAGAGGATATCATATTATCGATTTTTTCACCCTTCCATTCATCAAAACAGAAACATCGTTTCAATTCCCCAGCTAGTGGGAATAATGTCATAGTAGACGAGTGTAATTTTCTCGTTGGGGATTGTTTCATTTATTTACATAACATGTAATCATAAAATTTAATCAAAATATTATCTAACATTTGTATAAACATTTCTAGAACAAATATTGATATTTTACGAAGTACATTATCGCACAGAGATGTGTCATGCAGACATCCTGTTTCAGCTAGAATTCACAAAGCCAAAGGATAAGTTTGCTTTGTCTTTGTCACATAAATCTTTTTTAAAAATGTATTTTCTTTCAATTTGCTTTGTCGTGGTGACAGAGATGTGGTTGGGAAAAGTTCCATTCGTTCACTTTTATATTTCATATTTCTTCTTCAGAAACGTACTGGCCCGGGGCAATGTAGAGTAATCCGTATATGCAATTCTTAAATTAAAAAATGCTTAACAACGCCTTTCCAAGTAGAAAAAATAACATCTGAGATAAAAACAATAAAAAATGTTTGCTGTTTTCAATTTGCTGATATCACATTTTTTTCTACAATTAATCTACAATTTTTGTATCTACAAAAATTAAAAAAATGTATCTAAGTAATTTTTAATTTTTTGCTAAAAATTTTTCAAGCATTTGTTTACATACGCAAGCAGCCATCGACGTATGAGTAATAAATGGACTCGTTCAGTAGTTTCACGCCGTGGAACTGTGCGAAGCGAAGATGATTTATGTTTATTGAAAACTATTATAAATAAGGCATGTAAATTAAATTTTATTGAATTATGAATTTTTGAACAGTGCCGGATTTAACAAAAAGAAGTACCTTTATTCTCAGAGCAAAACGCTAAAGTTTGTCAACGAAGTTTTTTGCTCCAAATACTTTTGGGCCAAGTAGTCCCGCAAACCTTCACCGCCTGAGTAAGAATCTTTGGAAAATTACAAATATTAACAGAAGAGAAAAACAGTTTTCACGCCTTATTATCTTTATTATAAATATTATTTATTTTGAAATTCATTAAAAATTCTTTTTGAAGTATTCATACGAATTTCTATGCAAGAAGAAGATTGTTTAGAAGATTATTTGGAAATTTTTAATTATTGACTGTTGACTGTTGAATGTTGAGAACTTAATAAAGTTTCTAGCGATAAACATTGTATAAATAATTGATCAACTCAAATGAATGACAGTGAATAACAACACCAGTGATTCCCGGGCTCCGGACTGTTTTTCCCCAAAATTTTACAGCAAACTGAAAAGGAGCATATTGACATAATTCAATGAATTAACATCCAGCTGCTTTACTGCCCTCGTCATGTCTTGAGAATGGATGAATTTTTACTCCGTTTTCCCTTTCCAGCAGAAAAGGTGTTTAAAGCGATAATTAACATCCAGCTCCTTTACTGCCCTCGTCATGTCTTGAGAATGGAAGAATATACTCCATTCTCACTTTCCGCAGAAAAAGTGTTTGAAGCGATAATTAACATCCAGCTCCTTTACTCTCCTCGTCATGTCTTGAGAATGGATGAATATACTCCATTCTCACTTTCCAGCAGAAAAAGTGTTTGAAGCGATAATTAACATCCAGCGGATGTTAAGTCGAGTAAGAATATTATAACCTGCTATTAAGTAAAATCTGGTTAAATTAACCAAATAATTTTTCTGATTATATTGATAAACAGTTATAAAATTATTTCATTTTATTCTAACTATGATTTTATCTATCATAGTCATAGCCAATTTATTTGGTTTCTATTGTAAAACACATCTCCATATTCTTCAGCGCGCCATCAATCAAGTGGCCTCACTGAAATAAATGATTAACCGAAATCGACCACGTTACGTTGGTCCCTTTTTCATCCTTCGATTCTCGGATATCGTTATTGAGTTAAAGCCAAAATGCATAACTACATCTCTTGCTAGTGCAAGCAGCGAAGCATTTAGCTTGAGGTTGGTTGTGAAGTCATCATCAATCCAATGTTGTATCAACGTTGTTTTTTCTTTTTGTAGACATAGTCTGCAAGTGTCTTGCTCAACAAGAGCTATCTTTTTGAGATGATATTTGAAATTTTCATATCCAGGGATCAATAAGGTGAGCCATCTTGGGATGCTCTGCGGATAACTCAGCACTTTTATCGCTTTACTGACCATTAGTATCAGCATCATAAGTTTAACCTATCTTCAAGTGCTCGTCTCTCTCCACCGGCTAAGATGAAGTGAAGCTATCTACTTATTTATATAGGCTGGAGTCATATTGTAGTTTAATAGTATTTTTGGCTCTGAGCTGCAGAAGTTATGGCTTCCACCTTATATAATCTCAGAATAGAAAATGTTTTAAATCTTACGCGATGTTGTAATAGTTTCGGGTTTACCCCTTGGACCAAGGAGACTGAGAAGTTGCAATGTGTACTTTGACACACCTTTCCGCATTCTTCAGAAGTCACCTATTCCACGAGAAGCTATTGTAGTTTTGGTTTAATCTCATAAATCGATATCTATAAATCGTTAATCTATAATCTGTCTTAATATTTGTTTCTATAAAAATATAATCATCTATATTATTTAGATATTTTCGTTAAATCTATATATTGCACTTCTATGTTGTTTATCTTAGCATAAAGGAAAAAAATGAGAAGAGCACTTGTAGCTAGTAAATTAGGAAAATTAGGAAAAATAATAACAAAATTAAATGTAATTATGTTTTTGTTTTTTTTTTTATTTGTATTTATTTTCTTATTTATATCGCCTTCTCTGTGTGTGCTTTTCTTTTTATCTCGGAAAAGTGCGACAAATTTTCAAAATATACAAAAATAAACGAGCAAACGAGTGAGCGGTTAAAAATATCTTACGTGTGGACCGGCCACAAGAGTGGCCAAGAGTTTGTGTACATTGCTGTCGACTCGGATGGGATAAGACAAGATGAGATTGCATGGGTATGGCATGGGTATGGGTATGGGTATGGGTATGGTGTGGTATGGCATGGGAAGGGATGAAAGAGAGCTATGCTGTAGCATCAGTTTGTGGCGGCAAACGCAAACGCCACAAACTACATAAAAATTCTATGAGTAATAAAAAATTAATGTAAGTAAAATAAATAAATTAAAATACTTGAAATTCGTCTGTCTTGCTACTTGCCTAGTAAGAACCAGCAAGACCTAGCAAAACCTAGCGAGAAATTATTGAAAGAAAATGTACTGAGTGAAAAACTTTTGGCATAACTCTGTTCTGTGTTTTTGTATCGGAAATTATTTGCAAATATTTTAAATTTTATGCTATTCTTAAAAATATTTTCAAAATTATTTAAAACTATTTAGGTTTATTTTTCGCTTACCCTGCGATTCTTTTGCTTGAAGTTTTTATAGGCTTTGCCCTTATTCCGTGCGCCCAGGTGCAATTTCTTCATTTTGATTGATAAACACTTTGGTTATCTTGCTTGGCTTCAAATTCAATTTGTTGATATATAAAAATATTATGCAATGTATAAATAATAAATTAAATTGGCTGTAACAACAAACACTCGCACCGTGAAGAACAGGCACTTAACGTAAATCGCTAAAATATTTTATGGCAATAAAAAGTGGGCAATTTTAGGAGCCAAGGAAAATAGCTCCTAAGGCGTTAGACCACGTCAAAGCGCAAAAATAATAAAACAAATAAAATATTTTGTACAGCAATATCGGTCGGCTACGCGCTCAAAGGTAGGAACGGACCGAACCGGAGCGGACCGGAGCGGAGCGGAGCACGGAGTTTACGCGCCCGGGGCGTCAAATCGTAAACATAATCAAGACACTTGTGGTCGAAACATTTTTACAACTTTCCACTTTCCACTTTCGACTTCCTATTCTCGACTCTCGACTCTCACTTCTCGACTTTCTACGCTCGACTTTCCACTTTAGACTTTCTCCTCCGACTTTCTTTTGACTAAGAAATTTTAAGAAAGTTCAACATAACTTCTTCGAATATTACAAAGACAAGTTTTCCTTTTAAAGAAAAAATTCTTTTGTGAAATTCATTCAATTTTGATATCAAAATAGCACAAATACTTTTGTTTCCTTTAACAATTGCAAATTTAGAATATTTACTATTCATTGGAAATATTCATATTCATTCAACCAAAAAAAAAATAAAAAGGAATTCAAAAATATTGAAATCAATTATTAATTTTCACACTACACGAATTTATATCACATATAAAATTTTTAGCTAAAAAACCGCACAAATCATTTTCATTTTCATTTTCATTTGCATTTTGATTATCTCAAAGATATTTTATTTTGTGAAAGTATTTTGACGCGAGGCGAAATAAAAACCTCGAAAGCCATACAAAAACTAAAGACTTAAAATTTGTAGATTGATTTTGATATACAATGAATGCGATCTGTGCGATGGTCGTCTGTGCCGCCGCGACGGAGACAAACTGTGTTTGTGGCGAAAACCAAACAACAATAAAAAAAATAAGACAGCATTCTTAAATGAATATATTTTTGTAAAAATCTCATGAATCAACAGCGCTGAGCATCTCCAAAGTAATGATGACGTTTCATGGCGCTTATGATCGCAATTGGTCCACCGCATGCAGTTCACCTCACCGAATAGCAGCAAAAAGATGCTGTACGAAAGCACAAAATTTGTCGCCGCTTCGCTCGGGTTTGTTTAGACAGCATTGGGGAGAAGTACGCCAATGTCACAGTATTTCAAGATTACTCAAATCAGAAAGCCAAAACAGTTTACAAATTAATTATTAGAACTATTATGATGTGGCTGTGGTCATACGGGTATTGAATACTATCAATATTCCATCTTTTTAGGCTTGGAATTAGTAGAGTACAAGCACAACGACATCAATAATGTACCTATATACATATGCATATGGTAGATTGCGCTGACATCTACATAGTTCATTCTTTTCTAGGGAATTTAAAGATTTGCTAATTCATTTTTTGAAGATAATTATTGATGTCCGCTATAAATGACTTTCCCGTGATTATAATATCCAACGAATTTCATCAGCACAATGACAACTTAAAATTTTTTCATTTAATTCTCAAATCAGTTTAAATCTAAGCTTCAAATTAGGCAGATAATAAGATTAGATAGATAATAAGAACAGATTTGGTACAGTTGTTTTGAAAGTTGTAATTTTTTACATTTATGTGTCAACGAAGAACACTGACTCTTAGCTTCAAATTTAGCAGGGCACGAGTTCAACTCTTGGTACTTTCAGCCTCAAAAAAAATTATTTATAAATAATTAAATGCAAGAATTAGTTCCAAGACCACTAATGATGGGTATTTGACATTACTCGAAACAGCTGTATAGTCAGCCAAAAATTTAATTAATTAAAATAATATGAAAATTAATTTTTATTGTTGTAGTTCACTACTATTCGAAAAACCTCTATCTATATCTAAAAGTAAATTATAATCTAACCACTGGTATGTGGTTAGACCTAATTTTTCTGAGTGTAGTCACATATTTAGAGAAAAATTGTTTTTACATCTAAATAGGTAATGGTCTCGTAGTAGTTCTGAAGTTGTTAATGAATTGGCAATAATCATTCAAAAAATATTAGAGAGCAAGTTTCATACTTGAAAAGTCCATCCATTACTTTTGTGATTTCAGAAAAATATATAATTCTTTTAAAATAAACGAGTAAATTGAAATATATTTCTGTTTACAGTTAAAAATGGATTCGTACATCTAAGAAAAGTTCTTGAGATTTAAGAAATAATTAGAATTTATTGTTAATATTCTTAATAATTATTTTAACTCATTTTCGGTATATGCTTCTTTCCTGTATTAGAAATATTCTCAAAAGCTCTAAAAAATTCTTTTTGCTTACTTTTTTTATTAGTAAAATAAAATCTCAGCCGTGATAAGAAACATATATTAATAATTTAAAATTTATTTAAATAGGTTTCGAACAGTAATAAAGAGGCAATAACAAACATTTGAATAATTTTTTAATAGTTGGTTGACCATACAACGCTGTTTCGAACATTGTCAAGTAGTTATCATCAGTGTTCTTCGGAAATATTCGAATTTTTACTTACGTAGTTTATAGGCTGTATATAATTCGTTAGACTACAAGTCCAGGCTTAGAACTCGTGCCTGTCAAATTAGTAGCCAAGGCAGCACCAACTTGCAATGCTTAAGTTCCAAGTTTTTTGTCACTTTATTTGTAAGTGATATGAACCATCAAAAATACATAACAGACAGAGCTCTGCAGCTGTACACGAAAACTGACAGGCTGCCCTACATAGTACTAGCTATCTAATCACAGAGTAGTCACTAGCCACAGTCACTGACAGGTTGCCCTACATAGCACTAACTATCTAATCACAGACCAGTCACTAGCCATACGGGACGGTATGCAGATCTTAGATCAGTCATCGAATAATCAACGAGGCTTGTGAGGTATACATAAATTAGTAAAAGAGAAGGGAGGGACTCTGTAGAAACCCCTCTGTAAACTAACCACTCGTTAAAGGCGCAACATTCGACAAAAAAAATCAACATTTAAGTTTAAGGTATTATTTATTTTATTTTATTTATTATTTATTAATAATTATAATAAAATATAAATAAAAAAATTGAAAAAAATAAAGCAGTATCAAAAATAGATTATCTAAGACAATCGGTGTTATAGTAACAAAAGCATTTAATTCAACTTCTTCCGAAATTCATAAAATATTGTATACTCATATAAATGATATTTTTGTTGTTTCTTAATATATCACATGAAGCTACATAGCCTCATTTAATTCTAGAAAAATCAATTGACAATCTGTCATTTCGATTTGGTCTTCCGAAATATTTTTAATCAATTTTGTGGTATCTGATTTTAATGCGGACAATATTAAATGACAAATCCCACTTGTTGCTTTACTCCATAAGTCCAATACAGTGACATATGAGTACATATTTAAACCGAATAGATTCTTTTCTATTTTAGCTGGTAGCAAATGTCTCTGCACCACTAACTGCCCATCAATTATAAGCAAAAGGATATGAAAACGAACGGAAAGATTGATTCTGGCCACAAACATTTCCAAGCAAGCAATTCGAATTATTATCAAAAACGAGGATAAAAATCAATTTGAAGCATTTTTATTAAGTAAAACATCAAAATCAATTAAACCCAAAACATCCTTGCATTGTTTTTTTATTTCCTCTGTTGTTTTTACGAGTCTGTCCTGTGATGTGTATAGATTTCCTTTGACAATGTCATCCATACTCGTGCGATGATACTGTCAGTTTGTATGAATGGTTCAAAGGTCATGTCATAACATAAGTCCTAATGAAATGAGAGCAGTATCTGGCAGAGCGTATAATACTTTCACGTAAAATAGAAATCCGGTATTCAGGTGCAAAACCATCACCGATTATGAATATTTTGGGGTCTCCTAAAGTTTTTACATGTGAGCAAACTAACTTGCTATATCAAATGTAACGACTCGCATTAATAATTATTCACTCGATATGCATACGAGTATATACGAGTAGTCAGTAGATAGTAGATAGTAGATAGATACATTTATACAGACATTTGACTGCTTCCAAGTAGTAAATTATTTATGTTTTTATTCACTCGAATTGAAGCAGAAAACCTTTTTGCTTAAGTTGCTGCTTTGTGGTGCCAGAAGAAGTGAAAATGATTTTCTGCTCAATTCGTTGGGAGAGACGAAATAAGTTTAAATATAGCGAAGCGGCATGGAGATGGCAAGAATTGATTATATATTTGTGGCAAAAAGTAACAAATGTAGTAGAATTTGCGAAGCTGTACTCGTAAATTTTGGAATGCATAATAAATGTCAAACTGAAATTGAGTGATTTGCAAGTGTTTTAGGAATAAATGACAAGGGAACTTTCACAGTTTTAGCTATAAATTAAGAAAAAAATTTAATTTTTATACTTTTATTGGGTCTTTTTTTAGATACACTCTGAATATTTTTCATCTCCATTAGTTTCTCGGGAAAAATAATATATATTCTAGTGAAAATTTCAATATTTTTTTCAAAAAATGAGAAGTTATTTTATGACATTTGTTTAAATTTATGCACGTTTTATCTTTTTTGATAAGAAATAAATTTTGTTAAAATTTATAAAACACATTTAAAAAAATCATGAATGTTCCTTAAGCAAATTAAACTCGTTTCTAAAACGTATAACTAAGTTTGAGACTCGTTTACGAAACGAAACTAGTTTCTAAAAAATATATCTCAGTTTGAGACTCGTTTAGCAAATGAAACAAGTTTCTAAAATGTATGAATTTGAGACTCGTTTGCCAAAAAAAAGAAAAATATTTTAAAAAAAATATATCTCTGTTTGAGACTCCTTTACGTATATCTCAGTCTGAGACTCGTTTAGCAAATGAAACAAGTTTCTAAGACGCATATTTGAAATTGAGACTCGTTTAATATATTTTTATGAGAAATAAATTTTGTTAAAATTTATAAAACACATTTAAAAAAATCATGAATGTTCCTTAAGCAAATTAAACTAGTTTCTAAAACGTATAACTAAGTTCGAGACTCGTTTACGAAACGAAACTAGTTTCTAAAAAGCATATCTCAGTTTGAGACTCGTTTAGCAAATGAAACAAGTTTCTAAAATGTATGAATTTGAGACTCGTTTGCCAAAAAAAAGAAAAATATTTTAAAAAAAGTATATCTCAGTTTGAGACTCCTTTACGTATATCTCAGTCTGAGACTCGTTTAGCAAATGAAACAAGTTTCTAAGACGCATATTTGAAATTGAGACTCGTTTAATATATTTTTATGAGAAATAAATTTTGTTAAAATTTATAAAACACATTTAAAAAAATCATGAATGTTCGTTAAGCAAATTAAACTAGTTTCTAAAACGTATAACTAAGTTCGAGACTCGTTTACGAAATGAAACTAGTTTCAGTTAGAAGAACAACGATAGTGCTATTAATTCTAGAAAACGGTTTCTTCACTACCTCAGGAGCATTTCACGTTATCGAATCTCAGAATTGTTACAGGCTCCTCGGGGAGGTATGCAGATCTGAGGTCAATTATTGCTTAGTCTGATGAAATAATAAACAATAATGCAGTCAAGACGTAGAGAGGGATTTTGAAGATTTAGGTTCAACCTCGCAGTTAATAGAGAGTAAAAGTGCTCAAGTGCACTGACTCAACTAGCTTCAACATAAATTAAATTTGATTCCTACGTCAATTTGAGAGAAGTGACTGTTTTTACTTTAACTGAAGCTTTCACAGCAAATTAACAAAACTTTAGAAGAATGTGTAAACATAGAAGTCAAGTACTGCTTTGTGTTAGTTGTTTAAGAAGCGCCGACTATGAGCTTTAAATTTGGCAGGGTAAGAATTTGATTCCTGGTACTTGCAGTCTCAAAAAATTATTTATAAATAATTAAATGCTAGAATTATTTCCAAGACCACTGATGATGGGTATTTGACACCCATCGAAACAGCTGTATGGTCACCAAAAATTTAATTAATTATAATAATTTAAAAATAGTTTCTGTTGTTGTACCTCACTACTTTTCAAACTTTCTCTAGCATATATATTTTGTTAGATTGAAAGAGTAGTGAGAGTTAGAAGAAGTTGTATGTCAAGTACAAGGAATGGTACGGTGCTTAGAAATGTTGGTCTAATCAACCATGGTTCAAATAAATTGAAATTTTTGAAAACAAAAAAAAAATGTTTTGCAAAAATTTTTTCAATTAAATTTAATTAAAATATAAGAAGAAAATATATATTTGGAAGCCAAAATCAAACTGTTTCGAAAATATGTCTGATGAAAAATCTGGTGAAAAACCTGCGAAACCACCTAATTTATTTATTTCAGGAGAGGAGGAGTTAAGCCCGGCAGCAAAGGAGCATAGTTCGTTGAACCTGACAGAGAAAAGTGAGAAAATGAATTTAAAGCATTTAGCTACCGTTTCATATAAAATAAAATCTCAGCCGATAGTAGTTAATATTCAACCACCTCTATGTGTGCCAATAGACCATATAAAGATTAAAACTGATATGGATTCAATAGTTTCTAGTGGTCAAAGTATACAAACAAACTATAACGCCACACCACACAATAAGGATGTGAATAGTAAGCATTCAGTTAGTGGCAGATGTGGGGTATATTCTAAACCAAATCTATTAACAACTTAAAGTTCTTCATATGTAACAATAAATCATGAAAACTTATCGAATATGTATTCATTAAACTCCTTGAGTGTAGATATAGAAGCAAATGGTATTGTTATTTTAAATAAATTGCCCCAAAGTGATGATATTGATTTTAAAACTGAACTTCAGTGTGCACGTAAAGTCCATTTCTCACCGAAAGTGGTTGAGATACCAATTTATCCAGTGGTTGCAATAGCTCCTAAAGAGAAAGTGTAGAAGTAAAGGAACAACTCCCTTTGAACACATTATCGACCAGTATAGATGAGGGAAGTATTCCACGAAAAGTACATTTCTCACCAGTAATGTTGGAGATTTCACCTTATCCATTGAATTCAATAGAATATATCAGTGTAATTACAAAGACAAATGAAAATTTTCCATTTAATGAGATATCACAACATATAGATACTGACTTGAAAAGTGAGGCTATGAAATCACGAAGAGTGCATTTTTCATCATTATTGGTTAAAATTCCTCCACAACCATTTCCTTCAGTAGATGATGAGCTTAAATCTCACGCGAATATAGTTGGTCATTATATTGAGAGTAGCCTTCTAAAGGAATATATTCCACCAAGTAAGGCACAACAGAGTGAGGCTACTTTTTTAAAACATAAAATAAAGAACTCACGTAAAGTTCATTTCGCACTTTCTGTGCCATTGGAACCTTCTACCGTTCCTGTAATTCCATCTACTCAACAGTGTAAGGTGAAATTTACTCTCAGATACTTAACAAATAATTTGAAATAATTATATATTTAATAAAAATCTTTATAACAGACGTCCAGTTAGGATCAGACTTATGAATAAAGTCGAATTGATGAAAATAAATATATTGTAATAACTTCTCATAATGAAAGGTAAAGTATATTATTATCACAAATTTCTTAAATATGTAAAAAATTTATTTATTTATAGGGTGGGGAATCTAGAAAGGAGTCGCTATTCTTTTATTTATCAATATATATCAATAGCTAATAAATGTATAAATTATATTGTTCTGAAAAAATTTAAAATTTTTTTTATTTTTCATAAATATAAAAGTAATTATTTGGAATAGTAAAATATGTAGTTTCGAAAAATATATAAATGAGCTTATATTTCTATATACACCAATTTGTCTATTTTAACTCCTATAGAATTATATTCGAATCTTGGGTTGCATATATTACATGATTAAATATCTTAGAGTAATGTTCGGATATTAGACATAAGATAAGCAAAAACTAAAGTTTATGATTATACAAAATTTCACGACTTCGATTTTTCCAGCGCCATTAGTTTCAACGCATTCTGGCAAATTTAATATTTTTAGCCACTTTTTTCTCGAATTTTGTCTCGTTGACACAATCTAGACTACCCCGCTATACTGCACACCAAATAAATTCTCATTGTTCTATTCAAAACTTTTTTTGACTGGCCTCCCCAATCACTTGATCTCTACTTCAATGAAATGTATGGCTTCTCCCATTCAATTCTGCTATACAATCGCGAGTATCGTATTCCATAGACTTTACTCCTAAGGAGTCACAGTTTTTCGTAAATACCCATCACTTCTTGTTTAGTTAAATTTGAAAAATCAAATATTTAGGTACTAATTTCCTTATACTCTGATTACTGGTATGCGGCCTCATTCCTGAGGTGGTTTTAATGGTTTCCACCTACCGCAAGATAAAAAAAAATAATTTCGCTTAGTTTTGGAGATATTTTTTTTTGTAAAAGCTAGAGAGTTAAGAAAACTTTATTTGACTGAAATAATTTATACCCTTCATATTTTTTATTGCATTATTTACGAATATACTTTACTAACCAAAAAAATAAGTTTTTAAAATCAGCAATGATGTGTAAATCCATTATTGCTGCATAAAAATGACCAAACCCATAGGAATAGGGGCTTCTCTTATTATCATAAAATTGCATTTACTCTTTTAAGGTGTTTATTGCCATTTATTGTCCCACTTAGCAATGTCCACGAATAACGGCAAATGCTTTCTGTTAAAAAAGTATGGTACTATTCGATAGGTAGGATAGGTAGATTTAGACCAAATTCTGGCAAGATTCTCCATATTCCACCCTCGTCAAATTGCAACGTTAGCGACATATGAGATATCCTCCAGTTAATAATATCTAATGTTTTTATTATATTTTTACTTTAGGTTGTTGTTGTTGTAGTCTGTAGGGACCTGTTTGTAAAATCCCTTTTTGGGGAGAAAGACACTTAGTCGTCGTGTGATAAATGACTTTAGAATTTAGATTCGGACGTTATTATTAGGTAGTTGCTTTTTAACACAAAAATGACAGTCTTGTCAAATAGACGCTATAGGTATGTTTTAAAGCAGATATACTATTTTTCGATTTAAAAGGAGCTAACGATGGCATATGTTTCACTGGGTTTAAAAGGTTAATAAATACTTTTAAATGTCAATTAATTTTTATTATAGCTGTTTTATAATGAAGATTAGTTTAGTTTTTAGTATCACCTTACTGAATCTACTTGAAGGCAATGCTTTCGTCGTGAGTTTCGTAGTTGGAACATTTTTTTTCTTTTTTGTTAAATATAAAATATTTAAATAAAATAAATTATAAAATATTTTTTACATTAAATAGTGCTAATTATTTTTTCATTCATGCACTTTATTAAATTTTTTTTTTAATTTTAAATAAATTTTTACTTCCGAACCGACCTAATTAATGGTCAATAACTTAAAAGTGAACAACAAAATGAAAATTAACTTACAGAGCAGAAATTAGTTTGTAAGAACTTTATACTAAATTTAAATATTTACTCTTTAGACTGTATAAAATTTATATAAAATTATTTAAAATTTATTTTGGAATTTCGAAAAGCACGTTAAAGTGAATAATTGAAAAAAGCTTAAAATTGCATACAATAGCGAATTTCGTTGGAAATTCGATTAAAATCTGTTTGGCAGCATATTATGAATTTTACAAAGAAGTAATGATTAAATTAAAATTTAAAAATTATACCTACGCAAAAAATAAACAAATAAACAAAAAGCATATAGCACAAAAAAAAAAATTAAATTAAATTAAATCAAAAAAAATAAAAACCTATTTATTAATTTAATCATTGAGACAGCATAAAAGCATTTATGTGATTTCACATGTAAAAATTTCAATTTTCATACAATTCGCCTTAATAATTTTTACTGAATTGCAGCAATTTTTATTTTTATTAATATTCGTATATTTTGATTTTGATTTTGATTTTGATTTTTTGTCATTTCGAATTCATTATAAAAACGACAGCACACACTTAACGCAATTATCATTTTCCATTTGGAGTTCCACAAATAAGCATTGAAGCACTCCTACGAGGACTTAGCGCTACTTGGCAACAAATCGCGAAACCAATTAATAAAACCTAATCAACCATGAAATTCTTCATTGCTGTATTTACAATTTACGCTGCCGCTTCGGTTGCCAGTGTTACGGCCAGCGGTGGTTATGGAGGTGGCGGCAGCTCATCAGGTGGTTCATCATACGGTGGCGGCAGCAGCGGCAGCGGCGGCAACAGCGTATCCATACCAGCACCACCATGCTCCAACAATTACTTGTTCAGTTGTCAGCCGAATTTAGCACCAGCACCTTGTTCACCACAATCGGCACCCTCATCTGGTGGTTACGGCTCAGCCGGCGCCTACTCCCAGCCCATACCGCAATATATGAATATGCCACTCGCACTCAGTCTTAACGACTATCAAGCATTCCAAGGACTAAGAGGTTACTACGCCTAGGCGAAGAGCGCAACGCTGTCGTCACATACATCTGAAACTCATACACATATAGACATTAGACGCAATTATATTCTCCGCATCGATATTCCCATTAAATCTATGCTAAGTGCAGATACATTAGCGTAGGTAGACATAAGCAGAAGGAAAAACTCATAAACATAATTTAAAACTGTTTTAAGGTTTTATTATGACAAAAAAAATAAAAAAAAAAAAAAATAAAATAAAATTAAATAAAATAAAATAATTATATATATTATTTAATAAATACTTAAAAACATTTTTATACTTAAAAAATAAAATTAAATTCACAAATTAAATTTCAATTGTGTTCTGTTTTTTATGGCATCTGCTCTTTGCTCCTCACCCATCGCCCCTCGCCCCTTGCTCCGCTAAGCGGTTGCGGTTTATTCGATTTCCTTTCCTATGAAAATACTAAAAAATGCGATTAAGGACTAAAATTAAAAAAAAAAAAATTACATTTTCCACAAGCAAGCAAGGATTTATAGAATATATTGTTGAGAAAAAAATAAGCCAAAAAAAATATCCTTGTACTTGCCAAGGATATATGCTCCTTTAACTTGATTATTAACAAAAGACGGATAATAACAGTGAAGTGAACTTGCTTCGAAACGCATTTATGCCACCCATCGAACGAGTAGGAACAATCTACTATAAAGTATCTAATAATTGTGTGCAAAATTATTAAATGTATTAAATAAATTCTTTTTTTTTTATGTTTTTCTTGGCATGGAAAGGATAAAGCCGATTTAAAGTATTTTAATTTCACGGTGGTAAAGTTCAAGAGCTCAGAAGACTTCATGTTCGCACATAAAGCGATAAATTTTTCTATAGATATGAAGGGGAACTCGTGCAGAATGAAGCAGAGAAAAATCTTTAAGTGTCATAAAATACACTCAGTGGAGAATTTATTGCTTTCTGGTTTGAATTATATTACATTATACATTATACATTACTTAATGTAAATAATTTATTAAATACAATATAAATATAAATAAAAGGTAAATATATAAATATATTAATAAAAGGGTATAAATAATAGATTTTATTATTATTATTATCAGGGCATCGAACCGGAGCCGAACCGAACCGAACTGAAAACCAGAAAAAACCAATATTTTTGCTGGAACGAAAACCTGAACCGAACCGATATATTTTTTTTTCTCTTGAACCGGAACAAAAACCGGAACGGAAAAAATACCGGTTCGATGCCCCGATTATTATACACTGAAGATGGTCCGAAATAGTAGAAGTAGACCGAAACATCTGTAATATAAATAATTTCGTATAAAAATTAAAATCTAACTAAATATTTAATACAGTTTAAAGAATGTAATTATTTTTTTATTTTTATTTTATTTTTTTATTATTATTATTTTGTTATATTATTTTTTATAATTTATTTTGTTTTATTTTAATTTATTTTATTTAATTCTGTTTTATTTGATTTGATTTTATTTTATTTTTTATTTTATTTAAAAAAACAAAAAGAGGTTTTTTTAACGTAGTGAACTACAACAACAAACATTTATTTTATATTATTTCAATTAATTGAATTTTTGTTTGATCATACAACTGTTTCGAGTATTGCCAAATACCCAATACCGGTATTTAATTATGAATAAACAATTTTGTTTTTTTTTGAGACTGCGAACACCAAGAATCGAACTCGTGCCCTGCCTAATTTGAAGCTTATAGTCAGCACTCCTTAACCAATTAACCTAAAGCCATAATTGATATTTGTATAAATTTATTTGTTTAATAAACGAACTAAGAAGCACAGTAACAAATATAAAAACTAATATAAATAAAATAAATTTAAAAATATTAATAATAATATATAATTGATGAATTTATATGAATAATAATTGTTAATAATATACACTACTTTTTCTGAGCCAATCTGACGCACAACAAATATGTTATTGTCAATTTAAATTTTAAGTAAAATTCTATAATTTTTTTAAGTGCTATAAGAATTTTTGAATTAATAAATTATTTGTAATAATAAATAATATTTAAAAATTTAAATATATAAAAAAAATATAAACAATAACATTAGTTGTTTTAAATTGATTTCATGTGAAAAAAATACTCGAGCTACACGTTTAATGTGAAAAATAAATAAATTTTAATTTATTTAAAAAAAATTTTTATTTAAAAATAATTATTTTTAATATTAAATGGCTTATTTAAAACTTTTAAATTGATTTTAATTTTTTTTCTTATAAAGTCATCCATATATGTATATATATACTGAGACTTTAGCCTGCTCTGGTGCCTCCCTGAATATGTACGGACATAAACGGTACCGGTGTATATTGCCTTAGGGATCATTAAGAAAAGTACCAACCCTTTCTTCAACTATATATATATATATTATATCAACATCAAATTCAAATTGAAACGAAAAAAAAATTGGTTTTAGGTACAATCCTATGATACTATAATTTTGTGATTCACAGTATTATGGTATTCATAGTACAATCATAATCAATTTGGAATTAATACAATAACAAAATCTGATTAATTCAAGTAAATGACAGTAGCGATATTCTATATAGTTCTGAAAACCGATATTTAAATGGAATAGAATATGGCAACACGATACATAAAAGCCCAAAGATTGAGCTGGTATGGAAACGTCCTGAGTAACGAAGGAATGACTTAGAAAATGTTCGAGACAAAGCCAAATGGGAGTAGAAAAAGAAAACGACCGCGACGAAGATGGTTACAAGATGTAGAAGACAACATACGAACGATGAGAATAACACAATACAGAAAGAAAGCGAAATACAGAGAAGAACGGAGGCGGATTGTAGAGATTGTAGAATATGGCAACAGCGTTCTGCGCTTTTATTTACGAGTGTAAATATTCCTAAACCCTGTTTAAGAAGACTGCGATAATCTCCGGGAAAGTGGCAAAAGAGTTTTCTCAAATTTGATATAAATATAACATTAATGTGGATGGTCACATATATCATTGTTTTGATTATCATAATAGGATCATTAAAAATAATAATGTAAGTGTCTTTTGAGTACCGGATATGGACTACTTAAGTTATTACTACGCACTATTCTTTCGTTAATGCGTAAATTGTGTGACCAAATGAGAACATTATCATTATAACATAAGTTTGTATGTGATAATCTATTATTTGTTTAAACTAAAATATCACCCGGACATTATCTGATAGTTAAGTGTAAACAGAGATTATGAGTTGTAACTGATGATACTTGTGGTCTCAACTAAGTTATATTATCCATTGTTGTTATAGAAGATATATAAGGAGATAAGTTTTAATTTATTATGTAGATGCATAGTCTTAGCATCAAGTTGTGTTAGAGTTCTTCTCTGCGGAACCCACAAAAAGTATTAGAAACTGATAAGTGAAGTATTCAAAGAAACAGGATTAGGTAAAATATTAATACTTGTTAATAAAAAATTGATTATATACAAGAAATAATGTTTATATAAATAAGACAAAAATTGCTAAGCAAATTGTTGACAGAGACAACTAATAAACATTTAATAGTAAAAAATTTGATATATATAGTTTATGTAATGCAAGTAAAATAACATAGAGTAAACAAAATAAATTTAAGTTAGTTGGTACACAAACCATATATTTTCGAACTAAGGGTTAATCGTAAATCTATCTGGCAAAATAAAAACATTGCATAGTTTTAAGGTAATTTTACAAATTATTTAAAAATAATAAAATTTTGTCAATTAACACAATCATGCATCGTACACCATCGAAGAACGTGAAGACAGCATATAATCCGTCGGCTAAAAGGATGTTAGCAGAAACCTCACCTGAAGATGGACCGAATTGCTCAAATTATACTCTTAAAGTAGGCGACCTAAGTGTAAACCAATTAAAAGACATAATTAAAGATGGTAACAAGGAAATTTTAGAAAAAATTTCCTACCTTTCTGAGGATGTTATGGCGCTAAGGCAAGAAAATGAAAGTCTAAAAAAAGAAGTGGAAAATCTCAAAGCATATAGGGCCTTAGATAGTAAAAGAATCTCTACACTTGAAACACAAGCAAAAAAGAAAAATCTAATATTCAAAGGTCTACTGGCGAACAAAGCAGTAGGTGAAGAAGTAGAAAAAATTTGCACTGATATTCTTCAAGTTTCGGCATCAACAAAAATAAAAGATGTTAAAAAAATGTCGGAAAAAGACGGTAAAATGACCATTCTAGTAGAGATGGATACTGAACAAAACGCAGTAGATATACTGAAAAAAGCTGGTAAGCTGGCAGGGACAGCAATATTTGTGGAACGGGACTTGACGTTCGAAAAACAGCAGAATAAAAGAATTATGCTGGAATTAAAGAAGCAAATACTGCAAGTAAGTACGAAACACCGCGTTGCCGTTAGAGACGATAAAATACGGATAGGAAATAAATGGTTTAGGTGGGACAGAAATAACAAGTTAATGAACGATAATGAAGATGCGGGTCCTGCTTTGCAAATTTTATATGGTACTAAGGTAAAAAATATATGTACGAATTATATTGAACTGCTCAATAAAATAAATCCAAAAAACTAGTAAATATTTCGGAAAGCTTTTGCACAGTAAAAAAATGCCAAACAACACAGCCAAATAAAATTAAAAAAGTTTCTAAAATTAAACATTCCGTAGATTTCAATGACGAGTCAGCATTACAGGGCAGCTTTAATCTGAACATATTATCATATAATGTAGCCGGTCTAAAAAATAAAACCTTACACAGCCAATTTTACGAATATATTTGTTCATTCGATATTATATTTTTATTTGAAACATTTTTAGAAGAAAAATTAGAAGAAGTAGTAAGAAAGTTACATAATTATATTATAGAATGGATACCTGCTAAAAGAACAAATATTTGCGGTAGAGCTAGTGGAGGTGAACTATATGCAATAAAGAAGCAAACACATTTTACAAATAAAGCTAACTTTATCGAGTCCGGTAGAAGAACACTTGTTAAATTAACCACGACTAACGGAAGCCTGCACATTGTGCCTGTATATATAAACTGCAATAACTGGGAAAGCGATTTTGAAAACTTTCATGATTTCCTCACAGATGCTGGACTAGAAAATGTTATGATTGTTGGTGATCTTAATGCAAGAATTGGTGATAAGCAAGTTTACGAACATAATCCGTATACGCTGCAGATGCTAAGAGAA